ATGATAAAAAGTACTAAGACAGATCACTCATTCATACAATAATTATAACTTTGCCAAATGGAAATTGCTGTATGTGTATTTTTTTTAAATGGGCTATTAGAACAGCATATTTTCCAGATAGCTATTGGAGAGACTCCACCTGCTGGTGTATTTCAGACTACTGCTGCTCTTTTAGAAAAAAGCTATTTGATATAATGCAGCACTCAAAGCCTTTGCTTATCCTTGGGTCTTCTGAGCTACCAAGAGCAAATACTACACTCTGTGTTCTTTCAAAAGTACCCGATACAACTCTTTCTCCTATCATGGATCAAGCTGTATTGGAAGAGAAGAATTAAGGAGTTTTAAATACAAAGCAAAAGAATGAATAGATAGAAATCTGAAGCAAACGAAATTCTTGTTTAATTGTCTTTCAAGTTTTATCAGAGCAGAATGGCAAATACCAATGAAACTGGTACTAAGGCAGCATCTAGGCTGTATTACATTGGTGGTGGTGGTGAAATCTCAGAGATGGACCTGTTATGATAGCTATTCAGTTTTTCAGAGAAGCATGTTGCAGAAACTTCTGTGAAGAGGGAGTTATTAATTTTAACTGGGATTAAAATCCAGATGGGATAACTAAGGGATGGGAAGTGATACTGGAAGTAGAAAAATGGAATAGAGAGAGCCCTCTTCAATCATTCTTAAAAACATGCAAGCACTATAAAAAGTATAAGTGGAAATGGGAATATTAGCTCTATTCATGTCACCTTCCAATATTTACAGGGTAGCTGTCAGTCACAGAAAGCTCCTCTACCTATTAAGGGTCTCTGCCTTAACTGAGACCCTAAATTATATGGTCCTGTAGTCCATGGGGAACCTTCACAGACAGAGAAAGGTCTCTGCTAATGACAGATGCTCTTTCCATGTTGGAGGGTGACGGAAAGAGTTACTAGCACTCTCCTTCCAGTTCCCTCCACTTCCACTTCCTGTTTTTAAAGTATATGGAGATACTGTGCTTTAAAAATAATATAAGGCTGTTTAACTAAACTGAGGTAAAGTAGACATTGTCCTGAAAAGCAAGGATATGTTAAAGACATGAATTTGAAAAGCTAAGGATCATATTGATTGATTACATGCGATCAAGTCATTGTCATTTCTTAGTAACCACATAGCTAGATTTTCTCCATGATGATCTGTCCCTAACCTGGTCCTTCAGCTCTTCCAACTGTAACTGATAATAAAGGATAGGATAATATAGGATGGGATAAAACTGGTAAACAAGCCTGGGCCTATGCTTTGAAAAATGGGCATGCATGGAAGGACACTAATACTATTTCTACAGTACAGGTAAGCAACCTTTTGGGACCTTTGGACACCTTTGGATTTTTTTCAAAAAGAGCCAGATAGGCACCAAAGAAAGTGCCTGTATAAATAATGCTCTTGGACATCATATGACCTATCCATGTTCTAACTGAATCTCTAACATAGAATTCTATCAATTGTAACCTCAAACTCCCTACATATGATGCTCACACATCTCCTCTTGGCACCAAGGACAATTAGGGCATGGAAGCTTTAATTAATAAATTTTTGAGTGGAGGCTTCTCCAAGTACTTAATTATAACAAAAACACCTCACTCAGTTATGTGCTTTAAAAAACTGCTCATATCCCAATTCCTTATAGAGACAGTTTATAACAAGCCAATGTTTGATTATGCAGTAGGTATAGTATATCTTGATGCTGATCTGTGCAAAAAGGGGACTAGGAAAAAAAAAAAGAATCCAGGCAAAATATGAATTAACATGAAATTTTAAAAAATACAAAATAATATTTGATACATTTATACTAAATTTCCATAGTGGGTAGTCAATAGTAGTGATGTTAAACTGTGAGCAAATGTATTACTGAATATGCAGTACTTCCAGCATGGGCAGACCAAATAGGTAATGGCAGCCAAGGTGGTAGCTGAATTATACTTTAGTACTGTCCATAGAATGGATGGTTTAGAGCGGTGTTTCTTCAAGTGCGTTCCTAGGACCCTGGGGGCCCCCCAAGGCCCTCCCAGGTGTCCTCAAAATCAAAATTATTGGCTAAATATTGAAGATATTTGTAAAAATTTAAAACAATGACACTTCTCATTATTGGTTAATTTGTTAAAAAATATAGGTTTTTTTCATGAAAAATATTTTATTTATGTTACTAATAGGTTTAATACTGTTATTTTTACATGATTCAATAAATAAACACCCTAGGAATGCATCAATTTTAATTTTTAATAGGGTTAATATTGATAAATATAACCCATACAAACAAAAGCTCTTTTGGGGTCCTCCATAATTTTTAGAAGTGGGAAAGGGATCAAATATTGAAGATATTTGTAAAAATTTAAAACAATGACACTTCTCGTTATTGGTTAATTTGTTAAAAAATATAGGTTTTTTTCATGAAAAATATTTTATTTATGTTGCTAATAGGTTTAATACTGTTATTTTTACATGATTCAATAACTAAACACCCTAGGAATGCATCAATTTTAATTTTTAATAGGGTTAATATTGATAAATATAACCCATACAAACAAAAGCTCTTTTGGGGTCCTCCATAATTTTTAGAAGTGGGAAAGGGGTCCTGAGAGAAAAAAGTTTAAGAAACGCTGGCTTAGAGGATTCAGGAGTGGACCATGTAACACATAAAGCTCTGCCCTCTATCACTTTTCTGCCATTCCTTCTCCACATCATTTTCCATCTGAGACAGCTTCCTTGGTCTAATAGAGTCAACCCTACCTGATGACAGTCAAACAAGGAAAGGAAGCCGGAGTCCTGCAGAGAGTGAAGAACTGTGTATGCTGCATATACCAGTGTCTGCGTGGCTCTCAGGTTTTTCCAGCTTTTCAATCCATGTTTAATGTGAACCAAATCAGACTTTTCCATGCTCATTCGTTTCAGTCATACCACATTGTGAAATTCCATGTATGGTATGCGAAACTGACAGGTGCAAAGACATCCTCCAGACATTTTCAAAGTGCAGCCTTCTGCCAGAGAATTCTGGGTGCTGGGTTCACAACACGTCTGGTGGGTGCCAGGTCTGAGAAGCCTACTCAAAGCAGCACCCTCAGCATTTGGTTCTTAAAATGGAGGGTATTTTGATATCTTGAAGATTTCTCTAGCTATTGCAAGGGTATTCAGTTTGTGTTTCATGAAGGGGTTTTAGTTCATAACTCCCGAAAGTCAGAGTTAAGTGAGGTTGAAAATTACTCAGGCTTCTAGTAATCTCATGAATGTTATAAGCCATGGAGAGCTAACAATAATTTCTAAGCAGCTCATTCCCAACTGTGATAAAAGCAGTTTGAGGATGGAAGAGACAACAATCAAGACAAAAGAACTTAGAGCAAATTAGTGCAGGGCACAAATCGTGAGGACCTTCTAAACTGGCAAGCCTTAAAGTAATGAATGAGAACTCTGTGAAAAGAGGATTTATTCTTTGTAGCATATTCAGACTACTTAGTTCTGAGTCTGAGTCTTTACTCTTTTTCTACTTTGTGATTCTTTTATATATATTTTAATGTGAAGAAAAGGACCAATGTTAATGAACATTTATATAATCAGTTATATAAAAGTGGGGTTTTGTCTAATGT